CGAACCGCCCACGGGGGCCAGGCGGCCGGCCTGCGGGCGCAAGGCCGCCCGACGGCGGGGGCGCCGCACCTCTGCTGCCCGGCCGGGCTCGGCAGGAGCGGGGGGGGGGGGGGGTCCACCGGAGAGACTCCCACACTCAGGCCTGTGGGGCAAGGGTCAGGATTGCCGGGCTGCTGTGGAGTCCAGAGTCCAGACTTCTCCCCGCCTTCGCCCCCTTCCCCCGAAGGTACAGCTGCCCGGCTGCTGTTCTTAAAAGGAAGGGATGCCTTTGCCTCATCCGGAGGATCTGAGAGGTGAGGCTTTATGACCACGACCCTTCAGCAGGTTTGAATTCTGGTCACTACTCCCGTCATCGCTAGGCTGGTGATTGGGGCCAAGGTATTCAACCTCCCGACCCGGTTCAGTTTACCCTCAGAGGGGAACGAGGGGAAAGAGCTGTCCTGCTTCCCAGTGCTGGGAAGGTCAAAAGAGGCAGGGAAGTGCCTCTACGGAGAAACGAATGCGAAAGTGAACCTGTACTGCTACCAGACACCTTGCTAGACTCTTCACCGACAGCTCCTTTAATCTCCGCAATCAGCCAGAAAGAGAGGTGGCATCTCCATTCTATAAGTGGGGGTTCACATTCAGAGTGTTTGTCTTGCTCAAGGCCACAAAGTTAGGAAATGGTGGTGGAGTCATTATTCCCAACCTTCATAATATACCTGACTCATCACCAGGTTGCCACTCAGTAAAAGGGAAGGCACAGTCACCTTTAACAAAATTTTCAGATTGCAGGCCAGATTATGGGAACTCCTGCAGAATGAGGCAATGGACCAAGCATACTTCATACTTCTTAGGTATATATTAGCAAGCATATGACCACATTCTGTGTCTCCCCTGGAAAACCAGTGATAGCGAACAATAAAAAAATTTACTCTAAGCCATGACTGGCTTTTCTATCGTGTTCACTTCCTCTTCTGTATGACCTATTCACTCTGGATGTTTTCTGAATTAGGGAGGCTGCCTGAGCCCACACTCAGATGGCTCTTCAGAACCACTCGCTCGGTTCTGCAGCCCCAGCAGTGCCTCTTACTTAGGATATGCCACCTTTCCTCTCAGATCTCTCACTTCCAGCTGATCAATAGCACACCACATTGCCCCCTGTGTTCCTGTGTGTGTGATTGTAAACTTCATTTTTCTTTCTTGAGAAAGGTAAGATATTCAAGAATGAACACCATTTGCTTTTTTAGTAACCATTTGAACTGAAAGGTAGCAGTCTAGTATAAAGGGAGGCTGGCCATTTTTGAATGTGGGTTCAATCCTAAACAAGCTAAGACATCTTTGAGAGCTGTGGGATCTGGAAGGATCCTTGAAGACTCTCCCTGATTCTCTGAGACCAAAAAGAGCCCGAGCTGTGTTCTCCCCAGCTCCAGATCAGAGCTGGCTTCCGGCAGGACCTTGGGGATGCCTCACCATTCTCTAGCATAGAACTTAAGTTCTGCTCTTTCAGTTCACCCGGGTGACACTCATCTCTGTTGCTGCTGCCACCACTAGGCCTTTTACCAGGGACCAGATTTTGGCCACAGCATCATGCAGATGGGAGGGAAAAAAGAAGATAAAGCTCTAAGCAACCCTGGAGCCAGAGAGGAAAAGATGAAGAGGCAAAGAAAGAAGAAAAGGACATCTTAAACGAGGATGATGAAAAAACAAGATGACAAGATACGAACAGGATTTAGAGCAGGTTTATCTGTAAAAACTGGGCTTGAGTAACACAATATCATTCAATTTTGTATAATCCTACAGTGTGTTCCCAAGTTCCTGACTGTGAGCATGTGAAAGAAATTAAATTGATGAATTAGTATGGCCTGTATTACAAATCCAACATTAAGGGTACGATGCATATAGATGTTCATGGAATTTCAAAATCAGTGTACCTACCTCCTGGGTGAGGTAAACATTTTCAGCTGAGAGGGATTGCTTATTCACTTTTGCGGTGAGGAGGTCTTGAACTGTCAGTTTGTCTTCTGCTCTGTCTTAATTCGTTGGTTAGAATGAGTGTTTAGCGGGAGGCTGAATCAGGTCTCCTCTTGCCAGCAGAGGGGTAAGGTGGTGTGAGGTGGGTTGGAGAGGTTGGAAAGGATGTCTCAGGGGCGGGACACCAGCTTGGGTGGGGCTGGGTGACCCATGGGCTTTACTCTGTGATGTCATAATGGCAGGCAGGGGTCTCCTTGCTGCTCTATCTGCCTCCTCCCCCAACTCCCCAAAGGATGGCAGTGGCATGCTGGGTACCTGCCAAAGGCATAGCGCCTTCTAAGGTTGTCCGGATCAGTGCTTCTCTTATTGTACATAAGAATTACCTGGTAGCTTAGTCAAGTGCAGGTCCTGAAGGTCTGGAAGGGTTCCCATGAGATGTCAACCAGACCTCACTGAGTTGTCAGGTTCTGAACCAGTGCTGTCAAAGAGAAATACAATGTGATCCATGCATGTCATTGAAAATTTTCTAGAAGCTACATTAAAAAAAGTAAAATGGACACACACACTGCAACACAGCTATCATATCTTACACAATGCTATGGTTAAAGTAAAATGCAGCCCTTCCCAAACAAAGTTGAGTTCAATGGGAAAATATACTGCCTCTGATTTAAAATTAACATTTAATGAATTAAAATTGCATAAAGTTAGAAATTCAGTTTCTCAGTTACATTATCCAAGACATAAGGGCTTAATTGCCACATGTGGCTAGTAGCTACTGTTTTGGATAGCACAATTCTGGAACATTCCCTGAAAAGGTAATGATGTACAGAAATTATCATAATAAAAGACTAGGTATCTGGAAACTGGTAGACATTTACTAACACAATTTTAATGAACACGTAATTAGGATTTGAGAACTATGAACATGGAGGCATAACTCTGAGGCTTGAAGAGAGGGTTCTTGGCTTTCCCGGGAATCTAGCTGAGTCTAGAGTCTCGCTAGGGGCCCTCTGCCTTGTGACACATATCACATTCAGTCCACCTCTGAGCTTTTGCCGGGGTTCCCCCTCACTGGGATTCTTCCCTTCTTGCCACCCCACCTAAATCCTGCACACTTTTCAGAGCACATGATTTCACTCTCAATACCTTGTTATTCTAGCCCTTACTCCCTTCTCTTTCCTCTGAGCTCATGTCCGCTCTTGCTGTATGTAAGGTGGGGAGCCTCTTTACATGGGGTCTTGAACTGTCTGCCTTGCTAATAGGTATGTTAATCTTTTCTCTCATGAAATCCCAAGTTGCTTGAGGCTAGAACCTGCTTCTTCTATAGTGCTTAATATATGTGGGAGGGCATAGTAGCTGTTCAGTAACTATTATTTTATTTAATGACCTAAATTACCTATGCAAATGTTTAAGAGAGAAAATCAGATAAGAGTTGACCAAATAACTTGTCCAAGTGGAATAAAATGCCTTATTTTTGCTATGTCTCAACTTGAGCAAGATGTGAGTGCTCCCTAAGTTAATTTATAAATTTAATGTAACCCTAGTGCAAATACTGATGAGTATTTATTTATTTATTTATTTAATTTTATTTTTTTTGAGTTGGAGTCTCACTCTGTTGCCTGGCCACCGCAGCCTCGACCTGCTGGGCTCTAGTGATCCCTCCGCCTCAGCCTTCTGAGTAGCCGGAATTACAGGCGCGTGCTACCACGTCCGGCTAATTTTGGATTTATTGTAGAGATGAAGTCTCGCCAAGTTGCCCAGGCGGGTCTCAAACCTGCGGGCTCAGGCAATCTACTGACCTCACCCTCCCAAGGCGTGTGATTACAGGCTGAGCCACAGAGCCTGGCTCTGATGAGTATTTTTAAAGACAAAGACAAGTTGATATTAAAAGTCATATGGGAAAAAAATGCACAAGACTAGTTAGTAAAACACTGAAAAGGAAGTATTCTGAAGTAAGACTAACCCTAACAGATATATTTTTTCTTTGTTTTATTTTATTTTTATTATAAAGATGCGGGGTACAATTCAGGGTTAGGTATACAAATGTTGATTATGCAGGTACGAGGTATGCCCCTCCCTCCCCTAGCAGTTTCCCTCAACTGCCATCCCCCCTCACAGTTTCCCACTACTGCCAATCGCTTTCTTATAGTATTATAATTGTTCAAGGTCCACTTATGAGTGAGAACATATGGTACTCTGTTCTTTGTTTCTGTGATAGATCACTGAGTATGACCAACTCTAAATCCATCCAAGTTGCTGCAAAGTCCATATGTTTGTCCTTCTTTATGGCTGCATAATATTCCATTGTGTAAATGTACCACATTTTTAAAATCCAGTCCAGTTTCATTGGGCAACATGGTTGGTTCCATGTTTTTGCTATTGTGAATAGAGCTGCAACAAACATATGAGTGCAGGTATCTTTTTTGTAGAATGAGTTGAGTTCCTCCAGGTATATTCCCAACAGGGGAATTGCTGGGTCAGATGGAAGGTCAATTTCTAGTTCTTTCAGAAACCGTCACACTGTCTTCCAAAGAGGTTGCTCTAGTTTGCATTCCCACCAGCAGTGCAGAAGGATTCCTTTTTCTCCACATCCTCGCCAGCATCTGTTGTTGTTTTATTAATGATGACCATTATTACTGGAGTTAGGTGGTATCTCAATGTGGTTTTGACTTGCATTTTTCTGCTGATGAGTGAGGCTGAGCACTTTTTGATGTGTCTGTTGGCTGTTCGTATATCTTCTTTTGAGAAGTGTCTATTCATGTCTTTTGCCCACTTTTTAATGGGGCTGTTTGTTTTTTTCCTTTTGGTGCATTTGAGTTCCCTGTAGATCCTAGAAGTTAGGGCTTTGTCAAATATACAGTTTAACCCTAACAGATATTAAAGTACACTACAAAACCTCTGTGATTAAAACAATATGGTACTGGTGCATGACTAGATAGACCAATGGAACAGAATAAAAAGTTCCAAAATAAGCACAGCTACATGTAGATTTCCAGTATAGGACGAAGGTAATATCACTAGGGCAAAGATGGCCTTTATAAAAAGATGTTATTGGGACATACTAGGTAGCCATTTGGAAAAACATAAATTGTTTTCATTTTTTTCGTGTCCATATGCAAGAATAAACTCCAAATGAACTAGAAATCTGAATTTTAAAAATGAAATTATATAAATACTAAAAAAGAGTAAATTCCTCTACAACTTGAGTGTAAATAAAGACTTTCTAACTATGACTAAACATCTAGATACTTGATTTAAAAAATTGAAACATTCGACTACATTAAAAAATCAAACTTCGCATGGCAAAAATCTCTATAAACAAAACTAAAATCACACACTGGGAGGAAATATTTGTAATAGGTTTCACAAATAAAAAGCTAACATCCCTAATATACAAAGAACTTTTAAAAATTAAGGGGGGAAAAAAAAGACCAAAATTCCTACAGAAAAATGGGCAAAATTCAGAAGTGGGCGATTCACAGAAAGAGACACATTAATGACCCTAGAGATATGAAAACATGTTCAACTTCACCTATAATGGGAATAATGCAAATGAAAACTAGAATGAAATATAACTTCCATCCATAAGATTGGCAAAATTAACAAGTCTGATGGCTTGATGCAGTGGCTCATGCCTATAATCCCAGCACTTTGGGAAACCAAAGCAGGCAGATTGTGTGAGCTCAGGAGTTGGAGACTAGCCTGGGCAATGTGGTGGCATGCGCCTGTAGTTACCTGGGATGTTGAAGAGGAAGGGTCGCCTGAGCCCAGGAGGTCAAGCCTGGGCAACACAGTGAGACGCTGACTCACAAAAAAAAGTTTGATGAGACTGAGGGGAGTAGGCACTCTCATACATTGCTGGTGGGAATCCAAAATAGTACATCCCATTTGGAGAAGAATTTGGCAATATATAACACAACTACATGTGTGTTTATTCCTTGACCCAGAAATCATGCATCTAGGAATTCACCCTGAGGGTACACTTCCAACAATATGAGAATGTATAAGAGCAAAGATATTTATTATAGCATTATTTGTCATTGTAAAATCTTGGAAACTACCTAAATGTCCAAGCATAGGAAATTGGTTAAATTAAATAGGATACATACACACAATGGAGTACTGTGCAGCTATAAAAAAACAAAACCAAGCCAAACGAGGGAGATTTCTATGAACTGATATGAAATGATTTCCAGGAAATATTAATGGAAGAAATTCAAAGTACACAAAAGAATATATAGTATACTATTTTTTGTGTAAGAAAGGAGAAATAAAGCATCCATATATTTGCTTAAGGCTACCAAAAGAAATTCAGGAAAGGTAAACCAGAAAACAATGAAGTTGGTTGTTTACTGGAGAGAGGGAATGGAAGCGATTCTGGAGGGAGTGACACTTTTCTGAGAAGTTTTTTTCGTGTAGTTTTGACTTTTGGAAGCATGTAAATGTTCTACATATTCAAAAATAAAATTAAAACAAGATGGGAAGGGAAAGAAAAACCTAAAACTGAAAACAAATGGAAACAGCCTCACTGTATTTCGGATGAATACTGCAGCTACACGGAAGGGAGAAGGCGAAAGGAAGAACAAGTCCAAGGACCTCACAAATAGTGTTAGGCTGTCAATCAGTTTGCGGGGAGGTTGTGTGGGGGAGGATTACAACCAACTCCTGAACTCTTTTTAGTTGATATATCTTCTTCTCCTGGCGATGGACATGTGGAGCAATTGTGAAGTGAATTTGAGAGGTATCATGGGATTGTGGAAATGTGCTTATGCTCTTGGGAGCCAAAGTTCTTATTATGGGAAAGGGACATCAAAATATGGAGTGGAGAGGCCAGGCGCAGTGGCTCACACCTGTGATCCTAGCACTTTGGGAGGCCGAGGCAAGAGGATTGCTTGAGGCCAGGATGAGAACAGCCTGGGCAACATAGTGAGAACTTGTCTCTACAAAAAAATAAGAAAAAAATTAGCTAGGCGTGGTGGCATACATGTGTAGTCCCAGCTACTCAAGAGGTTGAGGAGGGAGGATCGATTAAGCCCAGGAGGCTCTGTACTCCAGTCTGGGTAACAGAGTGAGACTCCAACTCAAAAAAA